TTAAAGATTTGCATGATAATTTGCATTCCAAGAGGTAGTCACAAAATTCAAAATTGCATAATGCATTTTAATCTTAGTTTATGAAGACTAGGAATGCCTACAACGTGCAAACTTAATTATGAATGGAGTTTAGTATATTTAAATAGACAGCAACATCTTGGTAACTGGCAAGATGATGGACATACCAACTCTGCTACATCATGGCATTATTCATGGGGGGGGGGAAATCTTACACTAAAATCTTTACTGGCAATCTGCCATGTCAACGCTCTGAAGTTTTCTCCAACTCCATCCTTATATTTTAGCGCATTTATTCATTGTGAAAGCTCAAATTTACAACTTTTATTACCTTCCCAGCCTGCTCCATAAGATGGGCATCCCGTCGCTGGTAACGCCTGCTAATCAGAGCAAGTTGGTAACTTGCAAATACTAATATAGGAACAGCAATCATCAGTAAAAATGCAAGTTTCCATCCAAACACAAATGCGATAGCAAGTGCTGATGCGAGTGTTACAAAGGCCCCAAGAACTTGTCCAGCCCGGAGTCCAGCTGCCTGTGAATACACAAACATAACAAAGAGAAATGGTTGTTACAGAAGCCCAGCAATACAAACTTCTTGGATGAGACATAGTGGTAGACAGGTACCAATGCTCCAAAGGAACTTGCTGCTTGCATCTTCATGTTTTTTGCTTCTGAGGAACCTGCTGCCTCCATCTTACCATAATGACAGAGGCAGCAGGTTCCTCAGAAATGTTGGTACCTATCCATTAAACCACAGCATCACATCCTAGAAGCCCATCATTCAATTATGTATAAATGGTTGAGATCTCTTAAAATAAGGAAACAACATGCACTGCACTATTTCAAAAAGAATGTGGTGGAACAAATGTATGTGGACCTAACATAGAATGGTTGAATTACACTGCATAAACACTGATGACTTTCATACTTCCATTGTCATTTTTTTTTCAGTGGCTCTTCCAGCCCATTCAAGGCCCTGGCCTCTTATTCAGTTCCATGATCATTTTTCACAGACAGTATGATTCCTTGTACGAGTGATCAGCTCGTTGCAAGGCCTCTATCTAGACACAGAATAAACGTATACACACACCAATCATCCATGCCTTAGGTGGGATTTGAACCAACAATCTCAGTGTCCAAACAAGCCTCAAGACTGCACAGCTACTATTACCGGCTTCCATTGTCATTAGAGTAACTAAATTCATGATGGTAAAGGGCACTTGACAGTTACTTTAATTCTTTATGGTCCTTTCTTGAATACACCTGTCTGTCTAATATACCCATGTGGCCAATCCCCGAATATACTCGTTTCTAGTTTGTTATTAATTTTTTTACCACCAGCACTGATCACAATCAGGATGCATGTTCTCTCAGTGTTTCAATTTTCACATCTGTTCCAAGAATGTAAGTTGAAGATACTGAACCTCTTCTCTAGGCAAAATTGAAAGAATAATGAGTAGTAATGCTTTGGGCATACTTGTACTGGAAGGTACGCTGGTGTTTGAGAAATTTTGGTGCAAAAATGTTTGACGCACACATAACCTTTTTTTCCACAACTCCTTGGTGAAGCAGCTTGGAAAATCAGCATGGATATAGGAGAGAAAATAGTATTCAAAGAGACATTAATTGAATTTTGCATTAATGGTGTAGAGCTTGTGGTTCTACTATCTGAATGTTATTTAGCCAGTCAGTTAAGAAGGCAGTAGCAGCAGAAATTTTAATAAAATTGATTGTATTTGTAAAAGAGAAACTGTTGTTTAGAGGAAAGAAAAACACAATTTGATTCTGACAGGAAATTTAAAATGACACAACTCTCACTTAATAGTGAAGTTCTTATCTGATGACTTGTGTAGATAAGAATAAAGTGTTTTTACTGGCACAGATAATCTAAGGACTTGTGAAATTTTTAATTTTAATTTTCACTTGAATGGGATTTCATAAATAATCATCTCACTGTGTTCAATTTTAGCCTTTCTGTTCCTTTCCTTTCTAATGGAAAGAAATTGGGCTTATGAGACCACCATGCTCTCTGTATATACTCATGAGTCCATCTTCTAAACTTCTGCACTAGGTGACCCATTTCCACCAAACTTCGTGTGAACATTATGCCATTAGAAGCTACCCCAAATTCTTAATTTCTACTTTACTGCAACCAGTGTAACTACGTACATGAAAGACAGTTAATTTAGGGCCCTGAATTGATATATGGTGAGAGAGATCTTTAAAAATAATAAACTATCATTCAAATATTTCTTTCTATAGAATCTGAAAAACATCATTGCAACCATGAAACATTTACTTTAACTGTCAGACTGATGATAATAAATGAAGCAACAAAGCTAGTCATGAGAACTGTGACATTGAGATAGACCATAAATATATCACACACCGTTTAGAAATTAATACTTACAAACATGATGAAGGTGTAAAACTCTTGAGTTTGTACCTGACAAATCTAACTAGCATCCGCACTTAATTATAACTTTTTCACAAAAATAAAATGAAATAACAATAATAACAGCAACACGTCTGGAGGGCTAGAAATCTATGCAACAGCAAAATGGGCCTTATGAATAATGTTCAGAGCTCCTTACTTCACACTGGGACAAAATAAATAGAAAATTTATAGGTACCGATTTCACAAGTGGTGCATCTCGAGCCAATCTCGTGCACAGTTTATGAGGAGAACTGTCTTCTTCATCCATCCAGCTGACAGGTTGGCGGAGTATGTTTGAAAATGCAAGAACACGTAGCCTCTTCACTAGTTTCTCACATGCTGTTGTCATGGCTATGGCATGCAACCAGTAGCTGAACCCTGCGACGAATGCCAATACGACAAACATCACTGACCAGAACAAGGCTGACTTCTTGAGTTCAAGGCCAGACAGTTGAAAAGTCTAGGAATATAAAATATCACAACTTTATTGATGACATGCTTATAATGTGACAAAGTAGCCACTAACATTTGCATTCTAACATCTAATTGTTTTAATACATTACCACTTAGCAAACTTTACACCAGAGAGCCAAGTACTATAAATATATAACAGTTTCAAAATAACATAATGATTGATAACGAAACTCTAACCCAAATCAATTTTGATATTATTAAATTCCTTTTTGCATCAATGAGATACAGATAATAATCTGTAGCGTTCATTTGATGTTACACACTGAATAACATTGCTCTGAATTAATTCAACAATTGTAATTCTGAAATGGCTAAGTGGAGTGCACCCCTACATTACGGACATCCAAAATATGTCATTTATTCCTTACAGAAACTATAAAAAACAACCATAAAATTCAAAGTACAGACTATACATTCACTTGTGCAAAAATCTGATATTTGATATCTGATTAATTTTTCTTAAACACTAAATGCTATACAACAATAAATTTGGCCTAAACTATATTCTTGTTTAAGAAACGATTATTTGTAATGAGATTCAAATTACATATGTGCATGTGTACTGATACAGGGGGACATCTACTTGTGTGGCCGCTATTTCCATCTTATTTTAGTCTGTGACAGTATATTACCTTCATTTGAGACGACAGGAAAGAGGCAATCAAGTTAAAGGACAAACAGCACACCTGAAGGAGCATGGATAGGAATTACGTTTGAAGTAAAACCAGATGAACTACGTTTTAATTACAAATGTGGATTGAAAGAATTTTTCTATAGTAACACCTCTCCACTTAAATATGGGACTCAAAGATAAAACAGTTCATATTAAGGAACTGAATGATATGGACACATTTTCTAGAACACAGTCCTTCTGTAACATGAGGATCTTCTGTACCTAATAAGATCATAAAATTCAGAAATGGGAAGAGCCATATAATTTCACTAAAACTACAAAACACATGTTTCAACTGTGGCTTACACCAAACATCTCTCCATAGAAAATGGCGAATGTGGGCATAATGGCTCCTGTACAAACACAGCCAAAGAAGCCAAGAGACAATGCCTTCCACTCTGGTGAATTTAGTTTCAGTAGCCTCCACATTGGACTTGCATCACCTTTTGCTACATGACAGAAATTCTGAAAACAGATGGAACAAATGTAGTATAAGATGCCAATTGTGCAACAGTATTTGTGATGCCTTGTTTGTGCAGATTCCATTATGAAATTCTCGCTTATAAATTTTTCCATTGTAAATGAAATAAATAAAAAGTAGGTCTGCTGAGGCTAGGCTGTCTGGTGAAAGCAGTTCCATAATCCACTGTCTGTTTGGTAGGTCTGTCACAGCTTCACCATAGCAACGCTACTAATTACTTAGGGATATACTTTAGAAATAGAAAATGCTGAAGACTGGAAGAAATGTATTTATTTAAAATTACTAGAGCTACATATTAATGTATGGAGCAGAAAGATGGATAGCAGACATTAGTAGATTAACATTAATTAAGGTGAGACTTCTAAGAAGTTCAGGATGACAAACCAAGGAGAGAATATTAAGATAAAAACATTGGAGTATAAATCAAGAAATCACAGACAAAAACTTTATGAACATTTTTAAGAGTGAGGAGGGGAACACGTTTGGGGAAGAGAGATTGAGAGACTTTGTTGTTGGATAATCAATTTAAAAATGGAAACATGGAAGTAAGAAGAAGAAAGTGAGGCTAGAAAATTTAAAAATATGAATCAACTTACAGATGGATTGGTTATTATTTATTTATTATTGGTTATTATTATTATTAAGGTATAATCTCTGTTGGCTTGTCTGGCCTCTGCTCACTTAGGCAAGAGCATAGAATCTATTTCTATGGTGGGGAAATAAACAGGGAAGATTCCTCTGTTGCCAATGAAAGGGTGATGCTGAGGATGATGGTTAGAAGATGACCCTTCATGCTTAATGCGAGCTCTGAACCATGGAAGCCAGGTATTCTTCATATTCTCAATGGCTGCATTTGGTAGAGATTAAGGTTTATTTCTGTGAGCAGAAAAATCTGCACACAGACCTCAGAAGGAGCAAAACACAGATTTCTGTGAATGAGGTTCTGCTATTGTATCCGAAAACGAGGTCCCCATAGATGTTGAAGGAACAGAAGCAACAAAACAAAGCTATCAGCTCAGATTGTTCAAACATGTACAAGGGATGGAATCAAAGACATTAAACAAAATTATGTGATGTGTGACACCAGAAGATCTACAGGGTGAACCAGACAAATCTGGGGATAGGTACGTAAGATGCGAAAGTGGAAGAACAGATTGGAGGAGAAACTGAAATCAAGAGCATTAAATATGGTAAGTTCTTTGAGACACCTCCACTCCATTAGCTGGAAGGGCAAAGATTAAGCAAGTACATTTTTCACATTTGCAGCATCTGATTTAAATTTCTCATGCATCCATGATTCTCCTGAGGAGGTAAGTGTTCAAAGAACTGGTTTTTGTTCATATCACTTTTCAAGCAACAAACTGGTTGTTATGCTACTCTAAGGGTAGGATACTTAAGGTAAAGGTAAATTTCCCTGTGCTTACTTAAAGCACCTTGCTCTAAAAATGTTGGTGGAGCAGAATTACTGTTCCTGACATTCCTAACCTTGTTCCTGGATGGAAGTGGGTAGTCAGCTTCATGTCCTGGATGCTTTTCCTCCACAGTGAGAATCCCCAGTACACACTAAAGAGAAGTCTGGGTGAGCACAAGAGTCAGTCTTGACACTGTGCAGAAGAAGAAATCTTTTGCCTCTACCAGGAATGCAACCCCAGCAGCTTCCAGCTTAGTCACCATGCTCTCTTAGCTAACCTGACTCCTGAAGAGTACCACAGATATAATCTGGAATTGACATAGAAATTCAGGGCCATACCTCTTCCACAGCCAGAGTAAGTTGCTCAATTGATGAGCAGACTGATGGGATTCTGTTTCTGGATTTGGATGATTTTCTTTTCTTGCAGGTGTTTAAGTTCTCTATAGGATCCTCTATAACATTCCTGTAGCAGACACACAACAGGTTAAGAGATGTGACGTACTCTCAGTGATGAGTGTTAAGTTTACTGTCTTACAAGATATGACACAGTCCTCAAAAATGTCTACCTATTTAGCATACTACATGACTTTACATCTGAGAAGACTACAATCTCAAAACAGGAAAATACTGACACAGGACCAGTAAGGAACATGTTCTGAATTTATAAGAAATAAACACAATCATTGTGCTGTCACAAATGCAAGTGTCTGAACCTACACATTAGTTTCAAATTAAGCTGCTTTGTGAAATTAGCTCTTCTACTCACCCAGCATCATCACCAAAAGATTTTTGTGCTTCTACTAGACGGTAGTAATGGCCTCTCATTGACAGCAATTCTGAATGCGTTCCATGTTCCCTGACTCCTCCATCCTGCACACAAGAGCAAAAACTGGTATCCAGCTTCTTTTTAGATTATTAATGCACTCAGTTAATGAAGTGGTGGTAGTAGTAGAAACATTAACAGCATTATTACTAATGACAACAGATAACTGTAAAACTTTCAAAATACCTGCCAGGCAAATGCTCGAATAATAGTTTTAAATGGGCCATAGGTTTATCCTCGACTTATCATTTTCCGTTGGCTGTGCATTCCAAGTTTAGCAACTACAAACTTCGTTCAAATCTAAATAACTGCTGGAATTAGTTTTCTTCCTATTCTCAAATACCTTCTTAGCATGACTGGAGACTCATGAATGAGAATGAATGAATGAAAATGAGAACTCTCTAGAGCCTGTATGTACAAATACCTTCAGAACATATATGTGATCAGCATCAAACACAGAGGACAGCCTGTGGGCGATGATGATAGTTGTCCTCCCTTTAGCTGCCTGTCTGAGGGTCTCTTTAACTATCTGCTCACTCTTTGTATCAAGTGCAGATGTGGCTTCATCAAGCAGCAAAATTGGTGGATCTCTAATCAGGGCCCGTGCAATGGCAATCCTTTGTTTCTGTCCTCCAGACAGCTGAGCTGCACCAACTGATCCACCCACTACTGTATTGTACCCCTGTAACATGAGATCAATACAGTTAATTTGTTCCCTTGTCCAAGGTATCTGTACACCTGCATCTGGACATAGCAAGTACTATGGACAGGAAACACTGGTCATTGCAGGCACAAGAGAATCTGATAAATTAAAACTTGTACTAAATATGCTGATAGCCTAATAATTATCAAATCTCCTGGATATTTTGTAAGTACGCTGATAAACCTAACAACACCGCAGATACCAACAGAAATGCAAAGCTACCAAACAAATTAATCAAAAGACTCAGACCAGAATGAAATTTTAGTGAAACAGAACCTGCTATAAACACAACAATAAACTTGTTAATATTAAAAATACCTTTCCAAATTTTAATTTTAAACTGTGATTTGGACATCAGCTTCAGTCCAATATTTAACTGGCACCTAGATCCTCAGGTAAAGGATGAATATGTAATTTTAATCATCAAATAATATTCAATTACTAGCTTCTGTGAATAACATATATTTAAGACTTCCTAAGTTACAAAAGAAATCAATAGTTCTTTTGCAGATAAAGTCATGCCTATGATGATGACTTACCAGAAAGTCCAAAATGTGCAAGTCATAACATAAATTAAATTGTAAACAACAGAGAACTTACTGGATTTTTGGACTTTCTCCATCATCAAAAAACCCAGTAATTCCATATGTCATCCACCATCATCAGAAACATTTAGAATCTAAACGAGAACTTGACAATATGAAAGTCCTAATTAGTTTCATTTGACAGTATTAGTATTATTCGTATGAAATGGAATGCAACAGAAACAGATTTAATTTTATGGTCTAAAGAACTAATGTAAAACCTCAGAAGGCATGTGTTTTGCCAACACAAGACTAATTCCTCATGATTATACACAAAATTAAAAATAATACAGTTGGACATTTCCAGGTATTTCTTTTCTTTCTTGAAGTTGAAAGTAACAGACAAGCATGCTCCCACTTATATACATGCAAACTATCTGTTCTGAGTACTACTGTGTACTCTTCAAAGAATAACATATGTTTTCCTGAGCCCTGTACTTCCTGCCTCTTGTTGTGGTAAGCAACTTAGTACATTATGGTTGATATTAATCAACAGAAAACACCAACTCAGAGCTCCCTTACTCAGATAAATCACTGTAGGTATTTTAGGGTTCTTCAAGCACTAGAAGAGAGCCGAATATGTGGAGAGTCACATGGCAGTCACCATTGCCTTCCTCTTTATTGTGAGTGACTACAGTACCTTTGGAAGCATTGTGATGAAGGAATGAGCATTGGCCATCATGGCAGTTTTCACAACATCATGATATTTTACATCATCTGGATGCCCATAGCTGATGTTCTTATAGATGGTGGATCCAAACAGATTCGGTTCCTGGGACACAACTCCAATTTTGCTACGCAACCACAGAACATTCATCTTGCGCACATCCACACCATCCAGCAGAACCTACACAGGTATTAACAGCAGTGAACTGACAAATTAAATGTTATCCCAGTATATTGTCAGACATTGTCCAATGTGTGGAGTATATGTTATGCACACAACATCACAAGAACTATCCCCACAGTCATCACAAATCTTGTCATAATTTTTGTCAGTTTGTTGTTGTGCTGTTTCCACAAACTCAAATGCAAATTTAATTTAAGTTAGTTGTGTTAGGACCAGAAAATGGCAACAGTGAATAATAGTGTTTCAGTCATTATCATGGTGTCATGGTGTCAGCAGTTCGTATTATGGCTACAGCATCAAATTTTACAAAAAAAGATGCATTTATGCTACCATCATCATCGCTGTCACCATTATCGTCGTGATCATGGTCGCTGTCGTCATCGTCCTTGTCGTCGTCATTGTCATCACCATCGTCATCATCATCATCATCATCATCACCACCAGCACCACCATGATGATGTTTAACCTGTCAAGCTGTCTTTTCACAACTATTTAAGTTCACAGTATGCATATTCAGCAGAGTCACGATTTCACTGTCCCTTCAAGGTCTACAAAGTATGAGAATGTATTGACAAATGAGCCATCTCTCAAATTCATTGCTGTAAATGCTGTCTTATTTTTCACGTTGAATTTTTGGTTGTCATTCCACTAGTCTCTCAGAATAATGATGACCAATAACCTGAATGTGAGAAGAGCTAGCTCCCCAAAAGTCGTTTAGGCTATGTCAGATGTGCCTCACACAATGGACAATGTTCAGTATAATAAAACAATGTGTTATTAAACTTCAGAAAATGAGTGGTGAGTTCATTCCATTTGTCTTTTTTACATACCTGTCCAGATGTGGGATCATAGAAGCGTAATATAAGGGACACAATTGTACTCTTGCCTGAACCACTTGCACCAACCAATGCTACCGTCTCACCAGCTTTTATTTTCAAATTAATTCCATCAAGAACCTGAAGACAGAAAATATAATACATGTTTCATTATGGTACACATGAATGAAGAAGAAAACTGACAACACATTGAGTTATTTCTTCACCTGAACTCCTGAACGTGCTGGATAAGAGAAGCTGACGTCTCTCAATTCAATATCACCTTGTACTTTATTTGGTTTTATTCCAGCATCAGAATAGGGATCAATATCTGGTACCCGGTCAATAATGGTGAACAGTGTTGATGCTGCTCCAATTGCTGTACTAACAACAGCCACGAATGGCATGGCATGGCCTAGGGAGAATGCTCCGGACATTACACTAAAGAAAACCTGTAAAAAGAGGGAAATTTATTTCAATTAGTTCCTAACAACCTTCTTCTTGGGCCACTACTTTAACATGGCGGGGAGGTTTATATGACCTGATCACCCAAAGGCTATGCCAGCAGCAGCAGCAGCAGCATAAGTTCCTGATGCGGTAACTCACACTAGATGAGTCATGGGGCAAGAGTCAGAAAAAAGGAAGTCCTCTGTGTTCCAGGTTGAGCATGTGTCCAAAAATTTTACCTGAGAAAACTATGCCATTAACCTGCCAGAATGCAGTACCATGCAGAGCACTGCAACCAGAGAGCTACTGTCAAACACTATGGACTGAAGTAGACTACATGTGGATGACTGTTCATGTTTTGTGCTTCCATCTGACAGATAGTATTTGAACCACATAAATTCTTCTTCTTGCATCTTTTCTGAAATGAATGCCAAGGCTATCATTTGGTGTATCTGCGAAATTTATTGACATTTCTTTGAGTAAATGATCTGAAGATGTTGATTGTAAATATGATGGTATCAGTGAATGTTAATCAAATGCAAATAATGAATGAATTCCAGATTAATTTTTTTTTCTTTTTCTTAAGAGAGTAACTTTGATTCTGATAATAGAGAATAACAGAATTATTACTAGTTTAGGACCAAGCATTATCTGGCATGTCTGGATTTAAATTCCCAGTAAAAACTCTTCCTGTGCTGTGTTATGATCAGGAAATTAAATCATCCCAAATGAATGGATTATGAAATCTAACAATGAGTATCAGATGCATAATACAGGGAAATTACTATGGAAAATTTACGAAAAAGGAGACCCAGATTGAGATGATTGCTCTGGGCCCCATTTAGCCTCCTATCCAATGAATACCAGAAGCTCTATCCTCATGGGTTTAACCACCAGATAGAAGAGCTGACGGCTCACCTTCAGCTAGTGCTTTGGTTAAGTATATATATATGCAGCTATACCTCCACTCCCCATATCTTACTGGAGTTCTGATTAGTTAAAAAAAGAGACAGCTTTACTTTTGCCAGTCTCTCTCACCGAAACACCAACTGTAGTTGGCATTTGCACACAGCTATACTAAGAAATGTAATTTCTCTTGTACTTCTTCTCACCCTTCACTTCATAGGTAATTTTCTTACTTGAAATTATCAGGTTACATATTTTGCTATTAAAAAGTAAAAGTAAAAGGTAAAGCTATCCCTGTAACAGGCCATGAAGGCCCATAGGGTTGTACTGTGTAAATTACAAATTGAATACTGTAACTCATCCAAACTCTCTTGTATTAATATGTGACCATCTGAAAATTGTAATATATTTATTTAATTCCCCTCTTATTCCAGCTACCACAGTTTATTAGCCAAACAGTAACTGTTAATAATGCTATGATAATGAAGGAAACTTACTGTAAAAACACTACCAGGTGTTATTTCACTATTGTTGATTAGCTCTGAACCATACCAGAATGCCAGACCATATCCTATATAGTTGAGAAAGAATACAAGTCCCAAACATATCGACAGAATGAAATATTTGTTCATAGCAAGAAGACGTCCAGCTTCTAGGGCAGCATCAAATCTAGAACACAATTCTCCAGTTTAGAGTTCCATAAATGCATAGCAAACATTCCATACAACCACCACTTAAAACAAATTCATTAAATATAGATTATATTTACAAATCAATTTGTGATGTACAGACCATTCTTATCCAGCATACTGATTATTTGATCATTTTAAAAACTTGTGAAATTAGAGATTCTCACAGTGTTGAATATGAAAATTGCTACTCCTCTGCAATGTGTGTCTGTGCTATTTGCTAATGATTGCAAACTTTTTGGAGGACTATATTGCCTCCATAATATTCAGTGCAGCTGAGCTCCGGTTTATGATATCATGTATTGTGATAGGGGGGAACCAGTGTTTTGGGGAAACATGTTTCTTCCATCTTCACCCCTCAAGATGGAGACAGTTTGTGAAGATAGGTAAGTGGATATCAACAACCTTACTGTGTAAACAACACAGCAAGCCACGAACAAACACGCACAGTACTAAGAATCTCCTTTCTCAAGATAGACAGGTGGCACAAGATCAGCCTCCTCCAAGAAAGACAATAGGAGAACTGACACGAACCTGCATGGTTTATAAATTTTAATCCTAAACAACAAAGTTTTTAAAAAACTTTAAAAAATTTTAATACCAGGAAGGCTGCTGTGACTGTGAAAAGTTGAACATTGTGTACATTGTGTATTTCAGACATTATATGTGTATGTATATAATTTAACACCTATTGTAATAGTAGTTTCCGGAAAAAGTATTGATGCCCTCTGAGGATGATCCGTAGGGATCGAAACATGTAAGGGTGATGAGTTTTCAAGTGATAAAACTTAAATAGTCACACTGGACGGTGTTGTCTTTGTCTTTGTGGGTATCAACAGTCGGGAAACAAAGAAAAATACTGAGGAGGAGAGAAGGAAGGGTTTGACTTGAAGATGGATTTGTACATGTAGTATGATTATGGAAGATGTAAAATCTTATATGTGAAAGGAGAAAATGTGGAAGGTAATGTAAGGAAAATGGTCGTGGGAAGGCATGGAAGAGATTTGGTCATTAAAAGACCCACACAAAGTGCAAACATCTGCAGATGGTGATGAATGTTTGGAATTGCAGTTAAGGTTGTTAAGCTGAGGAAGAATACAGCTGAATCAAATATAACATAAAACTTGTACCAATTCAGATTTAAATTGTGAGATCACAATGCTGCATGACTTACCGATGTATTTCGTAAGTTTGCTTGCCGAAGGCCAACACAGTTCGTATGTTGTTCAGTACTTGATCTGCCACTCCTCCCGCCAGTGCATATTTCTCTTGCTCTCGTGCTGATGAATTAGCAGTCATCTGCAATACAGATGACAATAAACCAATAGTGATGAGGTTTGATGTTCTCATGATGGTGGTTATTACGAGTACAGTCTTCTTGGTTGGAATGTGGTGTACATTAGTAAACAGGTACCAATATTAATCTGCACTTTCAACGTATCTTCTACCCCAAACACGGACGTGACATGTTCCTATACAACAGTTGTACCTATCTGCCGAAGTTTATGGTGTCACTCCCAAAAGACCATTATCTTTATCCAGTGATATTTGATGAAGCTGTGTATTTATTAGCTACTCTAAAGTTACATACTGAATATAATCTCCAATATAATTGGGAAGAATTAAACATCCATATAGACTTTAAGTTATATTTAATTAACATGCTTCAGTAAAGATAATAACATTTAAATGCACTAAAATATTCAGTTCCTTAATGGTCACTTTTGTCAGTATGTCTGTTGCAATTATTCCCAGGGATTAGTGCAGTTTGTATGGCCAATATATCCATTGTATCTATGGAACAAACGCCTTAACTGCCATCTACATCACACATTATGAAAGATGCAAAGAAAACCAATGGTAAGATTTTTGGAACTACTGTGCTGCCTGGATAATATATATTAAACTATGCTAAAATATGTCTATGATAAAATAACAAGAGAGACACACTGTAATTTATTAGGTTATTATTATTAGATTCTATTTTCTGGATAAAATGGTGAATCATTGAACGCACAGGACTCTTCTACTGTGTTGCCTAAGCAATTTATAATGTACCCTAAAATTGTTTTTGATTAATATGTTGCTAACTAAGTACCTGACTCCATAGTGCAGATTCCTTCTTGAGAAGCCAATAGGTGCTTAGCTAGTCAAGAAATTCAGCAATATTTATGGAACCTGAATGTTTATTACAATGGTCAAAAGAGCCTTCATCTGGTTCCTATCCTGAGCCAGATTAATCCAGTGCACACCCTTCTATCCTATTACTTTAATGCTTGTTTTAATATTATATTTTTACTATGTCCTGATCTTCCTACTTGTTGCTTTTCTCAAGATTTTCCTATTAAAACTTTGTATGCATTTTGCTTCTAATTCATGAACCACCCATCTCATTATTCTTGATTTTATCACCCCAATAATATTTGTCAACTGTAAAAATTATGAAAGTCCTTGTTATGAAATTTTCTCCATGTTCCTGTTACTTCCTCCCTTTAATGTCCAAATATTCTTCCCAGCAGCATGTTCTCAGACACACTCAGTGGATGCTTTTCTCAACAGAAAAGTTTCCATACCAATTCAAAGGAATAGGTAAAGTTACTGTTTTGTATGCTTTAACCTTCAAGTATACTAATATGTACAATCCCTTAAATGATATATGTGAAATCTCATAACCTACCCTGGCGAGATAGGCTGATGTCCCAATAAAAAGTGGCCCCACTGCCATCACTACTAAGGTCAATTTCCAACTTGTGATTACTCCAACAACTATTCCAGATATGAAAGTCGATGCGTACTGAATCACAAGGCTACACTTGCTGCCCAAACCCTCCCGCACACGCTCCAAGTCACTGCAACATATAACACACTGTTACAGCTGTGGGCACAATATACAGCAATTCTCTTGCTCAAGGTCTACATCTTTTGCAAGAATAAGAAATTAGAGGAAATGAACACTGCATTAATACAACTATTTAGTAGGAATGGGTCCTCTGAAAACGCTGTTTTATTCATTGATCCAATTTTAGTGATAGAATCCACAGAAAAAATTGACACACTTCCAAGTAAAAGAGTAACAGAAAAATCCATTCATGCATTAAGTTCTTCAAAGGTCTTCAAAAGAATATAAAATTTCAGTGAATACTTTTTTATTGCGGTGTTATAAACAACAGAATAGCAGATTACTTAGCAATGAAGGGAACAAAGATCAGTCAAACAACTGCCATGTAAACTAATATTTCATACTGCCAAATTCAGAATAAAGACAAGCATTTAAATTAACTTATCAGAATATTATGCCATTCAAAGCCAGCATAAACCCTGGGACAAAACAGTCAAGAAAAGAAACGTTAATTCTTCGTTTTGCAAGAGAAGATACTGTGACAAATTTTGCTTAACTGCTGGCCATGATTATTGCTCTTGCCTTCTTAAAGGGCAGGTAATGTGAAATTATTTCTCCCTTACTTTCACAGGGGTTTCATGTGCAGAAACAATTGGAATTATTATAATAACGCAACACACTTACTCAGACAATTTGGTAGTAAGATCACCTCCTTGGTTACAGTCATACCAACTGACATCTTGACGCAGGATCTGGGCAAAGAAAATCTGGCGAAGTTGATGCACTTGACGTTCACAGGCTAATTCCCAACATAACGTCTGAAATAATAATCATGCCATACCAAATAGTGGAATCCACCTCAGAAATTCAATGAAAACATTTCACATTTCCTGTCTCTACCTACAGTTTCCACAGCTAATCGTTCAACTGAGCTACTCTTGTACACTGTAGCCCTTGAAGGAGACAGTGAAATCACTATTTCACTGTCACTGCATAACACGAACTTGAAAAATTCTGGAAATACAGCTTGTTTGTTATAACAACAATAACAACAGCAGCAGAACCAGCAACCTAGAGGCACCTTCCATGATAAGGTTCACACAGGAAATTAAAGTTCATCACACTACAATACCAACTTAAACACTGCCATGTACTTTTGACATCTTCTGCTCCTATCATAACTCACTAGGATTAGTTTTACCCTTGGATTTCATAGAAACAACATAATGACAAACACTGCCATGTTTAGACTAACTGCATATAGATAATATACCGCTGTCCTACGTTTCTGACATGCACAGTATCAAATGAAAATGATGTGGATTTGGCTGAGTTCACTAACAAATAAAACAGATTCAGAGTATGTATTTAGCCAAGCAGGAGCTGTGAGTTTCAGTGTGTCACCCTTTACCTTCAATCTGTCAGTTATTTCTTCAGGCAGACTTACCGTATTTACGCATGTATAGGCCGCAGCACAATTTTCAGACAGAAATTATAGAAAAAATAATTTTCTTGGAATATTATTTCAGGAGTATTACACCCTGTATTACTAATTATGAATATAATTTTTTTTTAAATGAAGTGTGATTTCGAATATTTCGAATATAAGCCGCACCCCAGTTTTCCTCTTGAATTTTTGGCAAAAAATGTGCAGCCTATACATGCGTAAATACGGTACTCAACCTCTACTTCAATTGTAGAAGGGTTGTAGGACAAGTTTTCTTACTGAACTTCTCAAATATTAATTAAGCCTTGCTTATAAGAGCACCGCTTCTAAGTGAGGTGTCTTGTGTATTACATAGAAAAAGTTAATGCATGGGTTTTTTTAATTATCAATAACAAACAGAAGCCATGCCACTAATTCTCTCACAAAAAGAGATAAAATTGAATTTATCCTTAATGGCTGAATAGATGCATCCAGCCTGTGCTTTCTTGGGCTCAGACTTATGCTAATTTGGGGGGGGGGGAATAAATGTATATACAGAAAGGCCTAGGCAATATCCATCTGGGTGACTGCCGCCAACTGTCGACAGACTGCTCATTCAGTGGCCTGGGATACCCAGAGTGCAATGCACTTCAGTGAGCCTTGTTTCAAAATACCAACTCTGAGGGCCTCATGTTGATCATGCTGCTTGGGCCTAGGTTTATGGGACCATCTACATTACAGAAAAACACAACTGAAGCACAAATCCACACACAAGTAGTTTAGCTGCATCTTAAGACAAAGTAATAATGTTACAGATTTACTTTACTTGAAGTGAATATCAAGCATTAACTCTGTAACACTTTACTTATATAGATATATTTCTGTCTCACAAGCAACTTATTACCTTGTCTTACTTCTCTACATGTAGTGATAGAGAAGTAGGGCAAGATAATAAGTTGCTTTTCAGACTGAAATACATGTGTACAAGTAAATACATTAATGCAACAGGATTCTTAAATACACAATATTATTGATAACACTTTGCTGACAGCAGAGAACGTGACAGGTAAATTTTCCAGCTGGTAAGATAAAGTTGTCCCTCTGCTTAACTAAATAAGCTCTATATCATGAAGGTGTATAGGGACATGGATGTATAGATCCACGTTTTCATGACCTCAGCACTAGTTGAAGGTGAGTGGTCAGCTTCACGCTCTGGCCGCTTTATTACCGGGAAAAGAGGCGTCAGTACGCATTTTGTAGGAGGTTGAGTGGACTCCAGAGTCTGACTGGATGACATTGAGAAGGGAAAATCCTTGATTCTACAGCAACTCAAACTCTGACCCCTCGGTCATCCAGCCCATAGTAAGTTGTTATCCAGACTATGCTATCCCGGCTCAGTAGCATTGTTGGTTGGGGCACTATGCTACTAGTTGGAAGGTAGCAGGTTTCAGTCCCAATTAGGTGGATATTTAATTTACCTAATTCTTCCAGATGCATTATGGGCCTGGGTTCAACCCAGCCTTTAACAGAAATGAGTAGCAAGAATCTTCCCGGGGGGTAAAGGATGCCCAGCGTGTAAGGCTAACAACCTTCAGCCATCTGTGAGCTGACTGACTAGAGAAAATGTGGAAGCCTCGACATCTCACAACCTTATGGGCCTCCATGGCCTGTTACAGGGATAGCTTTACCTTTTTTCCAGTTGGTTAAGTGACATAAATTTGTTGGTGATGATATATTCGTCATGTGGAGACAAGGATTTAAATAAGTTGTCATCATCACATATGTGTAGCTTCTGTTTGGGTGTGTAGCTGCATCATATGTTGAAGGTGTTTCAACATTTTTCTGTACACTGAAGTCACCAACGTTCAGCACACACTGCAGCTGAAACCTGCCATGTCCACTGCAATTAGGTACTGTAATCATCACCTCCTGAAAGTGATGATTGCAACTTATGCCAAAACTAGATAAACTTCAATATAAGAGGGAGGGTCAGTAAACATGTCACAAATGGATATAAAACGTGAAACATGTGTTATTCGAATATGGACAAGATATTTATTTTTTAACATATCCTCCACCAACACGGATACACATGTCCCAACACTTTACTATTGTATTGAAACCCACTATGTAGAAGTCTTATGACTGTCATCTCAGACACTTTTGCACCTCTGTTCCAACCCCTTTGTCATCAGTGAAACGTTTGACGCCCAGTTGTGAACTGTTTCATGCAACAAACACTTCCCACCACAAACAGGAACTATTTCTTTAGGAATACCATTTACACTGAGTCACTTTGTCCACAGAAGAAATGCACAACAGAACGCTGATCTTCAGTAGAATTCTTCTCAAGCACGGTCGCCATTTTGACTACTGAAACCATCCTTTGAACATGCGCATGCTCATCTGCTACCTACAGTCTTATGAAGCTGGAATATGCTACTACCTAAGAATACATATAGAAAACCTATTATGTCCATTACAGCTGTTTTACTTTCATTTGTGACCTATGTATTGACTCTCCCTCATACATGAGGCTAAACTTTGAAAGCCTAAATCACATTGGACATAGCCAACAAGAATCTAAGGACAAAATGCTATGAAATGTGTTTACCTGTATGAAGGACGCTATAAACACACCTGCACCAAGGTAAGAGTAATAGATTGAGTACTGCGTCATAAACTGCATGAAGTCGGATGGTTTGTTGGTCCATGGTGGCTCCTTGACTGCGCTAATGGTTTATGAACAGAATAAAACATATCACAATTCTTCGTTCAGATACTGTATACTAACTTAAGAGTAATTTTGCTAATTGTGAGCACTAACAATACATTACAGACTGTAAGTCCCAGAAGAGTAGTAAAAATGTTACTATCAATGGCAGCTCTGTTCATATGAAACATTGGCAGCAATATATTGTACAGCCTTCACAGTACTGCACCATGCCAATGAAGTCTGTCTTCTAGAAGGGTCTGCAGTGAATATGGATCATCATGAAAATCTCAAGTATCATCCTCACATGGTCTCCCCACACAGTTTTTCACACATCAATGGTTACCAGGTAACAGTTCACAAAGGATAGACAAAATAATTTAAATGACTGGACAGAGGAAATATGTAATAGCAGATTCAGTTTGGGGGTCAGTGCTATTAATATTTTGTTCCTTTGTTTGTTTGTTTGTTTGTTTGTTTGTTTCTTTCTTTCTTTAATGGAAACAACTCTTTAATTGCACATTCACATCTTTACACATATGCATATTTGTATATTTACAATTGCTCTAAAACAAGGAGATGCTTTATTGCCACTGTTTTTCAACTTTCTTTGTTTCCTTAAAAAATTAAAATTATCTGCCAAATGGTTTAGCTTCATGATGGTGGAAACAATAAAGAGTTATCTGAAGGAAGGTAAGGTGAGAAAAAGGAGGAAGAGGATGGAGAAGAAAAAGAAAGGGGAAGAAAAGTACGAGGAGGGAAGGCTGAAAAAAGTAAGAAGAGGAGATGTCAGAGGAGGAGGAGGAAAAAATTTTGGGAAAAATAATATTTTATATGATTACTCTGATTTTGAAGGGTGAGGTCTGTGATCTATTATAATAGATCACAGATAATTATGATGATGAATAATTATTCATGGAATTCACAGTTCTTACATATATTAAATAGAAAATCATTAAACTGCTCCTTACTTGGAATTCCAACCAGAGACGTTGGACAAAGATGTTCCACCAGAAATGACATCTTCATATCCACTTGATGAGTTCATTTTAGTGCTCTGAGGAAAACAACAAATTTGTTTTTATCTTAATTCAGAATGTATACCAGCTAATTATGATTAAATTTGAAAGACAAAAAAAAAAAACGAATAATAGTTTTAAAGGTGTTCCATACACTGCTGGACACTCAAGTGTGACAACACTCCTAGTAGTGTACCTCCAGTCACAATTCATGGAATACACTAATGTTCCAAATTCTAAATAATAAGAGTATGTACTGTGTAAAGCGCTGTGGCATGCATATATACACAAATGCATTCTTTGCTATTTTTCATTCGTCATTGATATTTATGTTAATTTAGTGCAGACATAAATTGAATGTTGGAAAGTTAATGCACAGAGTCAGACATCTTTTTCCCCTAAATCTGATAAATATTCACTCTTACAAACAGCCAACATTCTTAAAAGCCAATATTAAACTGCACATCACATTTTGGTCTGTGATCACAAATTATAGCCAGCACATATTAACTGCATGTAAAATTCATGTTATGAGTCTGGCTGAGACAGAGAATGCCATGATGTTAATTCAGCCCTTGAGTAGTTACACAGTGTGGCTGTGGGCAGTGTTACTGACAGTTTGAAGGTACACGTTCCTTCCATCTTCAGAATCTAAGTGTATAAGGTAAGTGAATTTCTGTGTACGTAATGTTCATGCTATGGAAGAACTATGGCACGAGAAGAGTTTGGGTCCAATCTGGGCCAATATGGGCAGTCTCTATTGGCTTGGACAGGGCACTGCCCCAGTCTTCTCCCCAGTCCTCCTATAGTTCTTTCATAACACAGACCTATGCAAACATAAAAGCTCACCCATGCTACACACTTTAACCCCAAAGAAGGAGGTGGCATACATCTCCAAAAGTCACTAACACTGCGAACAGCCACATGGTGTAACTAGCCGAGGGCTGAATTAATGTCAATGGTTAGCCACCAAGAAACCCAAAATCAGTAGAGAGTTGTGTAATATCTCTGTGTGTGTGTGTGTGTGTGTGTATGTGTTTCTGCAAACATGCTCGCACTTTTGAATTTTGAATATTTTGAATATGATTTTTCTGATGTATAACATCTTCTGTAATTTTCATTTTAGGAACCAGAATGGAGCCTCTATTTGTTCAGTGAGCAGATCTCAAGGAGTTTTGTAAGTACTGTCTAAAAAAGACCCATGATTTTCCTTTGTTATATGGAAGTCTTTTATTTAGGGGAGCTGGTTTGTATAAATTTACCATAATTATGAACAAAGTAATTTATCTTGACTTTTGCTTCCTGTCAGATCTTGTAAAATAAGAGTGTTAAATACAAGTATATCAGATAATTCAACTTGTATCATCAAAAATATAATATTAATATTTAAAAGTAAACATTTCACTATTTGAGTTCCTTAATTCTTGTGGTATGTTGCATCAGTGGTAATAGAAGCATAAACAGCCCTTGACATACACACACAGGTAACGAGAAATACTGTGCTGTCATTAATGGTACATATGCTTCATTCACACAGATTGTATAACAAGCACAATAACAAATTCACTGAAATACTTGACAATTAATTCTGCAAGTTCAAAGTGTCAAAACCTTTGAACCATATGTAGATATCTGTGGTGTCCAAGTCAAAAATCTATATACTAAATGAAACTGCTACATCTGACAACAAGTGAGATCTGCTAGAATTTTATGTAAACTGCATACTCATGAAGACATGCAGGGAATTTCCCTTCCCTTTTAAAGTTCTTGGAGATTCTTTATGGAGTATACATATTCATGAAACAAAACAGGTCTGAAAATCTAAAATTGGGTCTAGGCACTTGCATTTCAAGTATTAAATGATGGCTTGTATTGCTCCTCATTGGAAACTAAATGCTTAATCCAAACTTGGAGTGATAGAGAGACATACCTGTACAATTAGCGTGTTGGTCATTTGTCCAAAGATAACAGCAAGAACTGGAAAGCTGGCGCCATGAAACACAGCAAACACTGTTCCAATAGCGATCAGTAACAGATCACTGCACCGAGCATACCTGAACTTTACCAATATAATACATCATTAGCATATTTTAAGTTCCTTCTAGTCCAGCAAGCATTTCTAGGCCTCATTTGTAAATTCTGCATAAGTAAATTCCTTTCTGCTATGCAGCTAAGCAGGGACATGTGAACTATATTTGTGTTCACAGTAAAGTAAAATAAAGTAAGTAAAATAGTAGAGGTATCCCTGTAACAGGCCATGGAGGCCCATGAGGTTGTGAGAGGCTGTTGAGGTTCCCACATTTTCTAGACAATTGGCTCATAGATGGTGGCAAGGTAGTCAGCCCTACCCGCCAACCAACTTCTACCACCAAGAATATTCCTGGTACTCATTTCTGTTAGAGGCTGAGTCGACCCCAGGGCCATAGTGTGGCCAGAAGGATTAGGTCAATTGAAAATATCTAATGACCTCATTGGGACTTGAACCAGCGACCTTCCAACTTGTAGCATAGGGCCTCAACCAACTACGCTACTGCGTGCCCCTATACCTATAAAATAAAACTCACCAATCCAAAAAGTCCTGATTTTGCTTCAGAAGGGTCACTGTCATTAATATCATCCTTTGAATATCTGAAAGTAAATTAAACGTGTTATATGGAAATGTTTGAAAACCACATACCTGGTATGGTACAATAGGATGAGTCCGAGGGGCCATGTTACAAGACTCACTTATCACAGCCTACTCTAAGTTGCCAAGTCCTAAATATCATAAACAGATGTCAACAGTTTTATTACTCGACACTTAGAAACATAAGACAAACAGTTTTATTACTCGACACTTAGAAAAATAGGACAAACAGTTTTATTATTCAACACTTAGAAACGTAACAGATAATTTTGCAATGATTGTGGTGACTTGGAAATTTCAAATCAAATGATAAGTGAGACAAGTTGCTTATGAGCATGAATATATTTACAATGAGCCATCAAAGCATCGAAAATCAAACATACAGACATTTTTAAATTTTGGATTATACTTTGAGCGAAATTTCCAGGAACTTAATCCAAAATGCAATCGTCCTTTTAAACTAACCAACTATTTTATTAGCACACATAAAAAACACTGTTTCCCAGAAATTTGTAACTGGAAACTGCCAACGTGGCCATTTCCACCCCCCTTTCTTCAGATAAAAAACCTTTAAACAAAGAAGGGTACATGTAGAATATTAACGTTAAAAGTTATGCTATTCCACCCTATTTCTACAAATAAAAAACTGAAACAAAGAAATGAATATATCATACAAAATTTTAATTATTTTAAAATCTGGCACAATTTTTTATTCAACATCAAGAACCCACAACTCAGGGGCGATGCATAAAAATATTCATAAACGACTTTTTTTATTGCTAGTGGGGTGGGACTAAGCCCCTTGTACTGCGACCATGTCTGGCCCATTGTACGAACCCCAGATGACACGTGAGGGTGGTTGTGGAGCAATTGGTGGAATGTAGATTTTCAGGATAAACCGAAGTACTCGGAGAAAACCTGCCCCAGCGCCACTTTGTCCACCACAAATCCCACTTGACCAGACCCAAGATGGAACCCGGGCCGCCGCGGTGGGAAGCCAGCAACTAACCTCTTGAGCTATGACGAGGCCCTTCATAAATGACTTAAACTTCAGTCTGACGAACTTCGAGTCAGGATAGCTCAGTCGGTATTGCCACGGGCTACGTTCTGGACGACTGAACAGTAGGCGTTCTATTGCAGGAAGGAGCAAGATTTTTCTCTTCTCCACAGCGTCCAGACCGGCTCTGAAGTCCACCAAGCCCCCTATCCAATGGCTACCTGGGACAATTTCCCCATGCGTGAAGCTGATCACTCACCTCCATCTTGTGCCAAAGTTAAGAATGGTGGAGCTATGCCTCCACTCCCCCATATAACTTCATGGCATTCTGCATAATTATTTAAGTACAGAGGCAACTTTACCTTTTTACCCGTATGAAAATTTTCTGTTTAACGGCCCTCCCCTTTCCAGGAGAAAATATTTCTGGTAGCACTCGTACTAGGATTCAGTTCCAGACGTGTTTCAGAATAACAGGAACTTGTTTCAGTATTTAGTTTTACAAGCTAATTACGCTTGTCGGTTACATATTAGCCCCCCTGTCGTCATCGAATATTTCCCTTAAAGCTACGTTATGTGTAAATTATACACGTTTCTACGTAATTCCTTATACACAGGGGTAGGAGTGGTGTCAAATATGTAACTCGAGCTTTATGAATACGGAATGACAATCCTGAAGATAGAGGAAGCATGTGTCTTGGAAACATCGCTATCTACTTACACGACTATATGGCATTACAACCAGAACACCTCGATGAAAACCTTAAAAATTGTATGAGGTATTTACTCACGTTCCTACATTCTCCTGTGGTTTGGCTTCATCAGAGCGATCAGAGCGATTCAGCAAAGGAAGACTTTTATGCTTGGTACCCCGCATGTCTATGACGTCTATGACCGTCGGCCTATCTTCTCACGGTGCGTCCTACTCTGAGCACTCTGAGGCAGCTGAACCTCAGAACTCGAATGGAGTGCAACGGACACCAGGAAGAGTAGTTTTGTCGATACTGATAACCCTGGCTCTTGTGTCTTGACTGGTCTGACTCATTATCCGTCGTCCAACTATAAGTTCGAATCTGTTTCCTCATACATAGTTCTTGGCGTTCTTGGGAATTGAATGGGACTAAGAAACCCGTATTACTTACATTCAAAAGAAATTAAGAATGTCCTCAGGATTAGAGGTTCTCATGGCGGTGGCTAAGAAGAGTGCTAATCTTGTAAGTTGTGAGGCCGTGAAATCTGGTAGAATTTTACCGGAAGAAAGTACTGCCTCCATCTTCAGGGTCGAAGAGCGAGCCAAACAAGCGAGATGTTACACATTTCTCAAATTCTGAACAGTAAATAATAGAGTAAAATAGCAAATATTAAAAAAATAAATACTCATCCTCATCAGTTTATTAAAATAAATCAATAGTTTATTTTTATTGTTTGACCCAAGGCGCTTAAAACATGTGCAAGTGAATATCATGCACTAAATTGTAAATTCGAGAGAAAAATATAAAACAACAAACATATTTCTTCTACACGTATATTCCATAAAATATAAACACTTCGGAAAATATGGCAATAACCGCGGGTATGGTCGCTGGCGGGAGGTGTACTCGTAAGTAAGACATCTGCATCCACACTTTCTGCAGGATTTTTGAAGAGAACCAAAATTGAAAAGCGAAGGAATTGTATTACACGCTGATATATACAGTTGTTATTGTTATTATAACCTGTGTACTATAGGGCGGTCAGTAAAAACAGCCCCTATGTTTCTAAGCAAATGTTCCGGCTGCCCCACTCATTGGGAAACAAGCTGTCTCCAAACCCTTGGAAGAAACCATTCCCGCAGAGCGAGAAACTTTTTCTTCTGCACCGTAAGTGGCGAGCAAAAGCAAACGAAGATGGTTAAGAACATTTGCGTTCACAAGTAACTTTCGAGAAGAAATTCAGTTTTTCAAAGGGTAGATAAAAGTGGGGCATTTTTCTGATGTTATGTTCGTCGCCCTTTGTAAAGCCGAAAATTTGATGATGATAAAAGTGAATTTGTCCTTGTGCTTAATCAGTTAAGCACTCTGGCGTGAAATATGTGGAGGAGTGGAGGAAATGCTCCACCTTTCTTGATTTCGGCAGTAGATGAGTGGTCAGATTCAAACCCCCGGGGAAAGAGCCCCGGTACGCACTGGATAGGAGACTGCCGGAAATCGAACACGGGCCGTCCAGCTCACAACCTGTTGGTATACCAACTGAGCCGAAATGGGACGAGACTTATAAATGAATTTCGGCGTAGGATTTCAGGTTCTCACAGCAGTGGTTATAAAGAGTTCTATATTGTGGGATATAACGCTGTGCAGTCCATTGAAAGTCGAGATGATTTCGCCTCCATCTTCAGGGTCGAAGAAAACTCCAAGCAGGAAACTAGGGTGAAAACAAGTTGTAAGTTACAAAGCCATAATGTCTGCTTGCCACCTGCTTTCACCCCTATTTCTTGCTTCGCTTATTCTTTAACCCTGAACGTGGAGGTGAAGTGCTCCTCCGAAACATGGGTTGACTATCAAAGAACCACACTGCGTTATACCCCAAAAGATAGAACTCTTCAAATAAGTATTCATTATTCGTATAGGTTCCAATTATATTTCCAGAAGAATATATCTGAGATAGGGAACGACCTCCTTAGTGTTCGATTAAAACCCATTTAAGCTTATCACTGTAGAAATCATTCAGTAGTCGACGAGGTTCCCATAATCCTGGGTCGTCATTCTGATAGACTACACAAACTTGGATTAGATCACTTGGTATAATGACCAGGCCACCCAGCCTCCTGTAACCAATGGGTACTGAATGATCATTTCCCGGGGTTAAAGCGGCCGGTGCGTAAAACTTACCACTCACCACCATATTGCACCGAGGTTAAACATGGATGGAGCTATAAATCTATTCTAGCTTGTTTATTTTTGGCGTTGTACCAGATAATTAAGCACACAGACAAATTTTATTCTGGCTCCTGCCACTCATGTTGACAGAAGATAATGGATGTTCCTTACTGAAAGAAGTTTTAGAGACAAGTGATAAATATTAAAAGCGTTTGACTTTCTAATTAAAGGAAATGATAATGTCACTAACTGTTCTGTTGTGAAACCTTCTATTTTGATGTATAGGAACCAACATGTCGAGAGAACGATCCACAGGGGCTGTCTACAAAACATTCATTTGGTAATAAAATAAAACAGATGATAATGTCAGTGATTTTGCAGTGCAACGCGATGCAAAGAATGAAGATGTCGGAAAAAGCTGCTGCTTCCATTTGCACAACTTTTCTACCTCTAAGATGGCGGCATCAGTTTGTTCATATTTGATGGTTCTTTTCTACGAAATTACATGGTGCCGCATCCCAGAAAAGAGAGAATCTGCAGTCTTACAAAGAAGAAATATTTTTTCTAAAGCCTTAACAAAGAAAAAATTTACAGTTGATCAGCAATTCCATTGAGAATAAGTTGAGAAGAGACAGAATGGGTACAGTGTATTGTTATTCTCTGACTGTTGATGATTAGGCTCAATGGTGTGTTCCAAATCAGAATTAGCTTCTGAAGCTCTGATTTTTTAAACATTTCATAGGCCCCTTGGATGGATGATCTGCCCATCACAGAGCCCCTACCTACACAGGACAATACAAAGACATATAAAGATATGTCCTCATGTATCTCACAGTGAGACATCTTGACCCTTACACTTCATAGTAATTGTTAAAAACAAAATAACCATCAAGTATAACAAATCTGTGCTAAAGTGTCGAGTTTCGGCTTTATAGGACCATCTTCAGAGGCTGTAAGCTTTGTAGTGTATCCTATACTGGCCTTCCACTTCACAAGACGAATGACTTACTTACTTATGGAGCTGAGCCCTCCTTGATGAGCCGCCAATTCTGCAGCCACTCAAGAATTTCCCAGCATTTTATGGAAACCGAAGGTTCATTACCGTATTCACAAGAACACTCCACTGATACCTATCCTGAGCCAGATTAATCCAATCCATACCATCCCTTCTTATTTCTCTAAGAACCATTTTATATTGTCCAACTACATACGCCTTGGTCTTCCCAGTGGTCTCTTTCTTTCTGGCTTTCCCACCAATATCCTATATGCATTCCTCTTCTCCCCATTCGTGCTACATGCCCTGCCGACATCATCTAAGAAGAATAACACATACTCGAAAAGCTACCGACAAAGAACTTCATAAGAAGCTCATGCAAAAATGAATATAAGAGTACATCTCTAAAACCAGGACAACCACAACAAAAGCAATGGATTCTTCTTACACTTAGAAGAAATATAATATAATTGCAGAATTTTAGATATAATTTTCGATGTACATGCAGACGAAATTCTTTTGTTACACGGCCCTCTGAAGATGATCCTATAGGACCAAAGTATGTAAGGCGATATTACTGACTCAGCATTTTAGCAAAACTTTGTTACACTCGATGGTTATCTTGTTGTTTAACAATTAACATGAATACGTGTCCTAAGCGGAATACGAACCCACGATCCAAAAGATCGAATGGTCGAAGACAAATGTAGTAATTTCGGAATTTACGAAGCACCTTTTTAGCTTGGGGAACTTACTGAAAATGCCCAAGTATCCCCACCCTTTCATACGTTTGGTGTAAGTTGAGTGACCGATGAAACTCAGTGGGCATAGTTCGGGAAACGTCACAGATGGACTTAGTGCGGCCTATGAAATTGGAAATAAACACATGACTGGGCATAATATAAGGCAGCTTCTCAGCATGTTGTTAACTATGAAACTTGACAGGTTTTAGTGACAAAAATTGGAAAAAACCTTGACAAATCCCATATCTATCTATACTTTCCGCAGATAGATAAACCTTCCACTGACCCACAAACTGAATGTGTACACTAAGAACTTAAAGGTTCTGGAAAGACAACTAAATAGAATACGCATAATCACAATACTCTAGAGCTGCCTCTATCCTTCGGCAAAGTCGACGCTGCGATGCCTATAGCATACGTTTCCGGAATTTTAGAGTCTCTTTCAATTAATTAATCAGAGATATGCAAGGGGGGGGGGGAGACGCTTCATTTCGAGGAAGCTATTTTCGTACCTTCAGACGTCACATCTATGGTTCCCCACAACGACGCTTGTAGGAACAAACTCACGAGACTGGAGTGTAATAATTTCCTTTTAATAAGCGCAGGTTATTCCCCGGGCTACCCTAAGGATCTGGAGCGCCTATCTGGTTCTGAAATAAGATTTTAGCCCTTTAATGTCTGAATTTATTCTAAATAATATATAAAAATTCAGTTCGTACCTCACAGGAAAAATATTACGTCTCCGCTAGGAAGCCCAACCGGTTAATGCTGTTTGTGGAAAGAGAGCCACGCGGAAAACACAGATACACTGTGTGGGTTGAACGCAGTGTTTTAGCGTGTTGAAGCAGGTGGTATATATATTAACCACTGGGCTTTAAAGCGTTTCTATCCAGTGGCGCTTTAAAAAGCATATGAGGCAGACAGAGGGACAGATCGCTGAGAATTAAGTTAATATAGACACTTCTTTGTTAAATATAGTGTGTTCCATTCAAACCTCCCATATTTTATCAGATCTTAGAACAGAAAGTATGAATGGCAGGAAAATGAAGCTACAGGAAATACAAGAACAACTCAAACAATTTTATTCGACACACTAATAAATCTCTACATGTGCACCGTTGGTAGCACGAACAATATCAAATCTCTTTCTTGCCACGTTCTTTCCAACATGTCCATTGGTATAGCAGCAAACTTTTCACGGATGCGGGCTAGTAAATCTGGGAGGTTATTCACTGGAGGCACGAACACACGGTCCTTCACGTAACCTCAGAAGAAGAAATTGAGCGGATTGAGGTCCGGTGAACCTGTTGGCCACCGAATTGGTCCGCCACCTCCAATCCAGCGATCTTGGAAGGTGGCATTGAAGGACCTCCGAACATCCAGACCCCAATGGGGGGGGGGGCTCCATCTTGTTGGAAGATTACGTTAGGCTGCAGGTCGGCTACCT